ATTGCTCGAGATTCGAAAAATATTTGTAAAATATTTATTTATTTTATCCAGATACATGTATTTGTATACGTATGTGTGTACATGTTTACAAGACAAAAGAATTTTCAAAAATCTATTAACAATTTTTCGAAGCAAATAGCGTAAATAAATCTTAAACAGGGAAAGGCAACTTATTGGGTCCAAAAGCTAAATTTCTATCTCATCTGTTTTATTAAAATTTAATCAAATTTATTGAGATAACTGGAAGATTTACATTAACACGTAAGGAAATTATATTCGGTCGTGACCGAATCTCTTATAGGCTTCACCTAAAAAAAAAAAACAAAGAAAAGTAAAAAACTAAATTTTCATCCTCTCTGGAGTGGACACTGGTGATTTTTTTATGTGGGCGTTGTAGATGTGTGCTTGGAAAACTTTAAGCCACTTCCAAATTCTTCTGTAAATTTGTACGCAACATCTTCATTTGCGCTAATTAAAGAGTGTTTACCACAGATACTTCACAGTTGCGCAGATAGACAGATGGATGGACAGATGGATTCCTAATTCGAAACTGGCCAAGAATTTATACAACTTGTTGGGTTATTAAAGTTAGTTTCTATGCCTTATAAAGGTGTTGAAAAATAAGGTTGCATAGGCGTGGTCCATTTTCGTACAGGTACTACCCACAGGTAGTGTACAGGTATCGCCCAAATTTTTCTACATTTGTCTGATGGAGTTTAGGCGTAATTCGCAACAAACCAGTTTGTTATTCCTTTTGAAAAATAGAGGTCTTCTCAGTTTAGGTAGTACTATACCCGTGTCCTTCAACCGATTTGAATCATTTTTAATGCCAACTTGGGTGAAAAACTTCCATGATTTCCATTATGAGCAGAATGTTTGCAAAAGACATTCAACAGACGCGTAGACGGACAGCCGTGTAGACGCACAAACAGACATACTTAAATCGATTTGGGATTCGATGCTGATCAAGAGTCACCTGTACTGGGCTCTCTCTTTTATGGGCTCTCACTTTATGGGCTCTCTGAAGTTTCCTTTTGGGCGTTTTGGCTTGCGGGACGGGACGGGAAACACGGGAAATGCGAATAACTTGCACCAGTCACTGGAATCGACGCAATTTGTCCAGATAGTACAAGAGATCGTTAACGAGAGTCCTTAAAAGACTGTGCGTATCGTCATTGCACAATAGACCGGGAGCTTGTCTGTCGTGTTGTTCATAAAAACTTCCACTTGAATTATGCTTAAAGTACACTTTATTTGTGAAAAAAACCCGATATCAGAGACTTATTCAGCGTAAACGTTTCTTCAAAAAAAATACCGCCTACTACTTAGAAAACAAACAATAAAGTTGTTGTACACTGCGTTATCTAAGATAATCTCTTATAATTAGCTGAGCGAGCAAAGAAAAAAATTACCAAACCAAACGAAAGATGGAAGATAGATAAGGTTGAAGTGGCCAGAAATCTTACCTTAACGTCTGGAGATAGAAAACTAAAGACGAGGAAACTCGGCAAACTTCGAATGATTTAAGCAATCATAGCAAACAAATTAGATAGCGCTTAAGTTTTGAAAATTAAACTGAGTGGAGAAATTTTTGCGCCCTACAATATGGAACGGTTACAATTAATTAAACTGAGATGGTCTTGATTACCGAAAGCACTTTTTCAGTGAAATCCAAGGAATGCTTTAGACCATAATCAGCACAAAAGTTGATCATAGTTTGAGTAGAAAATCGATAAAAGATCATCTAAAGCATATGATGCTTATATGAGATCAAAAATTTCTTTTCTTCCCTATTTTTTCAACGAAAGCCCCACAAAATTGTATACATTCCTAAACCGCTTAAAGTTACATGCGAACTGAGTACTTAACCAATGAAGATGAAATTAAAGACTTTACAGACTTGAGTCATTGCCCTTTTACTAACCTAAAAAGCTGGGAAAGCTGCTTGATTGTAGATGTTACAAACGCAATAAATAATTTCATCCACCGATACGATAGGGATAAGAATGATTCTTCAACTAAAAGTTTTCTTCCGCACAAACGTTTATGATTCATGTGGATACCTAAGCATAAATTGTGATATCGTTACAAATCAAATGAGGCAATCATTAAAGTGCTTTGTACAAGTGCATGCCATGAAATCTTCAACGTCCAAGCATATCCTGATGTAAGAGCAAAAAAAAAAACAAAAAAAAAAAAAAGCAAAACTACTGCTTATGATATTTGCGTGAAAATCGAAGTTAATAGAAAATTGATTTACGTTCTAAACCAAATCATGCACACCCGTGCATGCTCCAGCTTGTTTTTCAAAACGGTTAAATTATCTTCCGACATGTATGTGCAATCATTTCAACTTATATACATGCACTGTATACAAGTCCGCGAACTACTACTACTACTACCGTTACCAACAACTACACATCCACACCGTAAAGTGACAAAAGTCAACTTTGAAAAAGATAAGTGATAATTAAAAACTATTCAATATTCAATGAGATAAGTAAATTTCTTTGTGATTCTCTTTGCGTTTTGATTTAATAAAAAAAAAAACTTGACATTATATTGCTAAGCGTAGGGTATAAAAATAAAAAAATTAATTATAAAATAATTTCACGCATATGCTTAAACTTGTTTTGATAATGTATAGATGGCGCCTTTTGGCCTGGCATTTACAACAGCAACTGTTTGCTGACCAACCATCTTCCACGACAGTCACGCACATGTGTACAGTTAGATGATTGCATCTAACCACGCCAGGCATGTCTTACGTTTCCTACAAACTGTAAACAGTTGCAGTTAACTCGCTTTTAACAGAAAGGTGGAAATTTAACGATTCTTTAACTCTAATATATAATCGATAACATGAGTGGGCGTTTCAACGAACGAACATATAAAATTATTTATGACAGACACACACATACACACACACAAACATATATATATATATATATATATATATATATCATTAATCATACATACGTACACCTCTATAAGTCGTTTTACTAAGCCAAAGAAAGTATCGGCAAATGTGGATGTGTAAGCAAGCTCAGGCATTTATCGTAAGTTGAGAAAGTTAGCAAATATTTATAGATTTTGATGATATTTTTGACAATCAAAACGTATAGAAAATGAGAAAATTACTTTTGATTTATTTACAATATAGAAAATATCTTGCGATATAATAATGGAATTTTGAAAGTATGCGAATAATTCTAAGCCGTATTCTGAGCAACATTACAGAGACATCATAAGTCATAAGGTCAAAATAAATTAGTTACATGACATCATATTTCAATTAAATTTAAGTGCAAAAGGCAGAGAACAATTTAATAATAAATAAGAATGCACTTAAATTCTACTTAAGTTAACCTTGATGTACATTAATACTTTATTTTTCTATTCAAAGCCGAGAAATTCAAAATATTATGCAATAGTTATTAAACACTGGGCAAAAATATTCTTCCGAAATATGCGAAACCTTTGAATTCCCTAATAATCACACACACCTGCAATACAATGTTGAGTTCCATACAGCAAGAGAAGCAAACTGTAGTAATACGTATAGGGAGGAACAGCCTTTACCATTAGAAAAAACGGAAGCGTTATATCAAACAGATTATAAAAGTCATTGAAAGATCGACGCGCGTTCGTACTTGAAGCAGCTTTATAAGCCAACAATTACGGGTTACTCTTATCGGAATATGAATATTTAACGTAGATTACACCAACTGTAGTTAATCGATGCAGTGGTAAGTCTATCTATGCTCTCTTATTAACTAAATACATTTTTGGGGCAACCTTGCAATGCCACTATAAGAAGAATGCAGGCCTACGAGTCATACCGTAACATAGCCGTAACTGAGCTAGCTAGTTCGTGAGATGTAGGAGGAGTTTTATATATTTGTTTACGGCAGGTTGCAATCAAAAGAAATTAAAATTACTTGCTTTTTATCTAATACGCGGACAGACGAAACCGTAACCTACCGAACGAGGCTCCTATGTACCACTTTCAAGAAATATCCTGCCTGTTAGTCTACTTTCGGGCCTAACAAAAAGTTTGTATGTTCTCATAAGTTGGAAATCGAACAGCCGGACAGCAAATTTTAAAAAAGCATTATACAACGACTGGGGGTAACACCTATAGTTCGGGAACCATACTACAATTTTATTTCCCAAAATAGACCTAACGAGGGCGGGAAAACAATTTTCTACTAATATAAGGATCTTTAAATTCGTGCGATCCTAGTAGAGATTTCGTTTTTTTAACTAGTATCATACGCCGAAGGTATACAGTGGCCATGTTATAAAAGTAACGTCGCCACTTGATATTGATATGACGTGGGTTACGAAATTATTATGATAGCGCACTACTAGTTCGTTGCTAATTCTCCCAGGTATGTAATTTTAATCTTTCGTACGACGAAACTACTCAGTTTCGGTATTTGTGTCATCACTAACACAACAGGTGTCATTGTTTTCTTCTCTTCACACTCTATACACTTCTACCTATTCAAAGAGCGTGAAGTGCAATAAGTTGATTAAAATTTTTTCCCAAAAGATTGGTAAAAGTAATACAACCTCCTAAATTGACGCTAACTAACTAACCAACTAAGTAACGTACTTGACAACAAAGACACAGCTGGATAATTGGATAATCGGTCAACGTTTTTGCTGTACTAGTCTCTGCGTCATAATAGAAGGATGAAACAAACAAACACTTTCGTAATCTCAGAATATTTAAAAGCTTTAAAAGCTTAATGAGAAAAAATTGAAAAAACCCTGACACTTACTGTAAGGCATCGATTGTTTTTTCATTGAAGAACATTTTTTGAGAATTTTTCGAAATTCTTTTTAATATATTTTACAGAAATATGAACTATATATATATTATAATCTCAAAAAAAAAAAAAAATAAATAAAAAAAAATGAGATTGAAAACATGGTCTAACAAGGATTCAATCAAAAAAAAAAAATTTTTTTTTTTTTTTTTTTTTCGTAGTTTACAACCTATTAAGAATTTTATAGTTATCACAAGTGCAAATGCCACGATTATTCGAAAATACGAACACAAATGCTTTCCCGGCATCTTCAAATAGGAACTTGCTTCTTGCAAATTTAATGCCCAGTTTAAGTGAGCAATTTAATTCCTCTTGCCAGGTTTGCTCAACATTCTCCTCGGTTAAAACTGGTTGAAATATGGTATCGTAATTTTTCAATTGTCGAAAAAGATCGGGTGAATGCACAACGGTAACGATGGCGACATAAGGTGAAAATTTTTCCCAACGTTCCAAATCCTGTAACGTCAGGTCGATACCAAGATCGATTATCATTAGATTGCATTGAAATAAATTAATATTGTATAATATTTCGTATTCGTGTGGATTTGGGAATTGCGCTTTTAACTCGGCCGTAAGAGTAAAATCATTATTGTATGAGGGCGATTGTATGTACCAAGGAAAGATGCGATTGGCAAAGTCGTATGCAAGCTTTTTACGTAACTGCACGTCACATTCAATGGCCTTTAATTGCTGTTCAAGTGGCACTACACATTGATCTAAGCCACGATAAGGTTTCTGCTCGATTTCCTCAGGCGATTTAACTTCATCTAGGCTACTGGCCTCCGGTGATGATTTACAAGTTAACTCCACGGGTTCGAGATAATCGGCAAAATGATTTTCGGCCAAAAGCGTATGAGCCCAAATGTAATCGAATTTGCGTTCGGGTACAAAATGCTTTGATGTGTCTTCGCTTTTGATATCGCAAATGTTATTATCCAAAATAAGAGGCCATAAATTTTCAAAAAATTCTTCATTAATTACGAGATTCGGATCTTCCATGTTGAAAATAATTTTATAAATATGAGGAAAGAAACAAAAAAAATCTTATATTTTGAAAGTGATTTCAAATATTTGTCAAAATTTATTTAAAAATTTTTTTTCTTTTTTATTATTTCTTTACCTTTTCAATCTTTCCTACTTGCAATATTTATAATGCCTGCAGCCGACGAGGGCTTGAGATGAATCCATCAATTAAGAAAACTTTTTTTTGATTTCACTTTTGTAGTCACCTTATAAATCGCAATTTTCGTGTTATTGCGAAGAAGTTCGGAAAAATTTTCACTTCGATTGTCTATATCGAGGCTTAACCTGAGCAAGTATTTATATAAAAAAAAATTCCAATTTTAAATCTTTCTCGATAAACTTGGTTGACAAAAGCTCATATTAAATAAATGAGAAAAATTTGGAACCTACAGGACCATTCATTGAAGATCTTCCCCGTATTCAAGTTTTTACCATAAATAGATCTTTATATGGCAACAAGATCTAATCTTTAGTATCTTTAGCAATGAAAATTGGTACAAAATAGTGATCTGACAAATAGATTTATAGCGGCAAGATCTGACTATATAGAACTAGTTTTGAATCTTTCTCCCAATAACAAATGTTATGAAAAATGAACCTATATAAAGTATCCGATATGATTTTTGATATGTTATTTCATAAGGCAGTCAGGTAGGTGAAGAATTGTTGTTCAAGACTTGGTGCAAGGCATTTAATAGTCGCCCTTGCCCGCCTATATATTCTAACTCCACCAAATTGATAATCGGCGACGTCAGTTGTACCAAAGGACAAATATCTCGACAGGTTGAGTATTGTTACAAACGCAACCTTCGACAATGAAGTTAACATTTTTGGAACTCTGCAACTAAAGCTTTAGAGGGTTTCTTTTAACCATCGTGCTCTAAACTCTAATTTAGATTCAATCTAATAAACCAACTGATGATCAAAAATGGAGGTAGAATGACTTGCGCAAGGGATTTGGAAGTATAGAGAGCAAAAAGAGGAAAGAGAGAGAGAGACAGACAGAGAGACAGAGAGAGATCTTTTAATATGTTATTTCCCGATATTATATCAAAAACTTTTTTTTTCTACACTCATACCCTCGAACATGCAGCTCATGCTGAATATTCTCAAGGGAAAGTAGGTTTTTTTTTTTACAACATATATATATATTTATATAAAGAAAGTAGGTTTTTTTTTTACAACATTTATATATATTTATATAAAGAATCGTATGAATTGAATGAAGTGTTAGTTAAGTGTTAATCACAATCAACAAAACTAAAGTGGACGCCACTTAGCATTTGGTAATTGAATGAGAAGCTTAAATACCGATTCAACACTTGTCAAACACAAACAAATACTGAAATGCATTAAAGCTAATTAATTTTGCAAAATCAAAGTCCCTCGCAAACAAACGAGTATATATCGCATCACTTTTAGAGAAAGAGAGATTTTATCTACGCTGAAAATGGAAAATGGAAAATTAGCAAAACATTAAGAATTTAAATGTTTTCTCAAATTCACGTATGCAAGGATGACTATAGAACGAAATGAATAGTCCAGTCACTAAAATAGACTATAGAAACGTCTACATGCGTATATATATATATATATATATATATATATATTTGTGCATGCCTCTCAATGATAAATTTAACTGTGGAAATCGCTTCTCAAATTTATACGCAAACTTTCCAACAAACATATAACAAAGAGAAGGCAGAGTTAGTAAATTTTGTGAAGTTATATACCAATATTGTTTATCTACAAATGGATTTACATTGGCTCAGACCGATGGAGACGCATATGTAAAAACCAACGTTAATGACTATAAAAGAATTTAAAAAGATATTGAAGCAAAATTTTGGGACATACACGATGTGATACTCTGATCGCAAAAGTGGTTGGTTACTTTACAGCGGCAAATGTTCTTCCTAGGCTGTCACATAAGGCCAAATCACGGTATACTATCCTTCTGAAGACCTTTCTTGAAGCTTAAAGCGTTTAAAGTTAAACATTAAAAATATCGTATGGGTTTTTAATTATTTCATTGCCTCGATATCTATTTAGCTTTAATTTTTGTACGATGCCCATGTATATCTTGATCTTGACCTCGATCTCGGTTTCTCTCTCTCGCTCCCTCTTTCTCTTTCTCTTTCTCTCTTTCTCTCTCTCTCTCTCTCTCTCTCTCTTTCTCTCTTTCTCTTTCTCTTTCTCTCTCTGTCTCCCTCTCTCTCTGTCTCCCTCTCTCTCTGTCTCCCTCTCTCTCTCCCTCTCTCTTTAATGTCGTCTATTGCCAAAAAAATCCATTAACAAGTTACTAAAGTAACATCCGATCCTTCGAATCATACATATAACACAACAAGCGTTATATAACAGGCATGTTCTGAATCTGCTGTGGTGTGGTTATATAAAGTAGTAGCATTGGTAGAGACGTTTCCAACTTTTTGTTGCTTTTCGCTTACTGAACTGTCAATCTTGTTATACGGAAGACCAATCCCAGCTCTACTCTAAGAAAGAACGGGAAGATACTTGTGAACAGCTAACAAACGACTAACAATAAAACTTTTCCTTAAGCAAGTTACCGTATCGTCCAGAAATAAATTTTTTTTTAGTAAAGTTTTCATGTAAAGTCTAGAGTCTTAGTTAGCTAATTTTGTATCACGTAAAAATTTTATTCTTTATATATCCGCCTTTCTTTCATCGTTCCTTCGGTTGCCTACTCATTCCCGATGCACCTCGAAACAAAAGGAAAGCAAGCTATACACCAAACACTGTCGAATGCAACCTATAGTCTTCTAGGGGATATAATTTAAAATCTTTCTGTTGCTTCCTTTGCAATTGCGACTGATGAACTTGCCTAACTTGGGGAAATTATCCAAAAAGTGTTTTTCGATCATAAAAAATAGCTCTTTACCATCATCCATCCCATTAAGCATACAAACGAAAATACTTGACTTATGCGATCGAGGCAAATGTTTTATAATCTTTTCGTGCCAACATAAAAAAATGCTAGAAGAAAGAGCAGATTACCCCTGCTGAAGACCATCTGTACGGACAATTTGCGCTACATACCGTTATGTTAAACTATGAATTGTTATTGTAATTAAATTTTGTAAACAAATAAGCATCTAAATGTAATCGTAACCCTATTTATAGTTACAAGATATTAATAGCGTCTGTAAAGCCGTTCTCTCTAAAATCTATTGAATATTGTCGTCTATTTTTTCATAGAGTAAAAATTAATATTTTGTTGATGCAAAGTATCATTTTAGAAATAATTTCTCCTCTAACCAACAACAAGTACATCAAACAAGCCTAGCAAAGCGATAAATATCAAAGCAAAATTTTTGAAAAAAAAAAAAAAATACTTGCGGGGATTTAATATGTCGGCTATTATGTGCACGGTATGCGTGCACCAAAACGATGCATTCATGCTCGTACGTTGTAGAGGAAAAAAATTTTTGATTTTGATTAAAAAAAAAAAAGAAAGATTTTCCTTTTAATGTTTTTTTTTTTTGCACGACAACTCTTTACGGGCCGTTAATTTTTTGCAAACTTGCAATAGAATATATTTGTCAAACGTTTAATAAATCATATATGCTCTACCATAACGGCTTAAGGGATGGTCATGCAAATATCATCCTCACATCATAGTGGAAGCATAATGGCCCAGGGCGAAAGTGTGCATCATCTGAAAGCAGTTTTGAGTGAAAAAGCTCCCGTACGGCATGGTGCGGCTTGTTCCTAAGACGCTATTCGCAGAAGGAGGAGGGAATTTGCACTAGGCCACCATTAGAAAGGCGCTCAGTACTGCACTACGATAAGTTCGACATATGCCTATCGCCGTCTTTTTTATTTCACCTGCGTAATTGTCGCTTCAAGGCTTTTATTTCCCTTTTTGATTACGCCGATCCTTATAAGCTAGTGTAGAGACCTTTGAAGCATGAAAGATATTGAATCATTAAAGCAAGATTCAAGGGCATTAAAGTCTTATTAACGGCAATCGAGTCCACCTTTTTGCTCACCTTTGCATACAGCGTCGGTTAGAGCCACTATGTCCCCTCATCTAGGAAGACATGAATTTCTTAAGTTGACTGTGGAAGGCTAAGTGCCATACCTATCGTTTCGATTTTCTAAACGGATCACAATATTTATTCCGCAGCTTAGGACCTCAGTAATAACTGCAGATATAAGACTGTCTCTAATTCACGTTTGGCGTCGTTAAAAGCATCTTCGAACGCTTTCAGGTTATCACCGCGTGTTAAAGCACTGATAACTGACGACTGAAAAATGTTTAAAAACGCACAATAAATTTTTGAAATCTCTTCTTCTTCTTCTTCTTCTGCAAATTAGCAAAGTAAGAACCGAAGATTCGCAACGTTATGTAAAAAAGGTACATTGCGGGCACAAAGTTCTTTGTTTGAACAAAACTCAAAGCTCATAAATTACTTGAACGTAGATGGACGCAGATGTATACGTAAATGTTATGCACGTTTCAAATTAATTATCTTGTTTTATTTTATATCACGACTTTTGAAGAAATTAGTATTCGGTTATCTTCTTCTTCTTCAAAGGATTGCAAGATAATACAGCGTAGAGTAGTGGTAATTTTGTAGTGTTCAAAGTGATAAAGTGCGTGTGTATGGAAGTTTTTTATGAAAATTGATGAGTGCCTGAAAGAGCAAATTTATAATCTGACTCTAAATATTTATATGGCAGACAGACAATTTGCAAAGTGCGGAATGACGAAAAAAATTGGATTTTTTTTATTTTTTTTTTTTTGAAAAATCCCTCAGTAGAATTGAATAAAATTACTTACCATTAACAATGCGACCTATAAATAAAAAACACATTTTATTCTTAAGGGAAATGCAATAAGACATGTCAATGCGAGATAGTATATGTTTCTGAGGACACAATAACCCAACAGCTTAACTATGCTAGGCTGCTAAAACGTTATAGCTCCATGGCTATGTTTCCTAATCCGCTGA